CCCCCCCCAAATTGAAATTTTTTTATTTGGGGAGGTTTTTTTTTTTTTTTTTTTGCTACAGGGTGCATGCGCTTACCAGACAGACACAGAGACAGAGAGACAGAAAGCAAGAAATCTCCCCCCTGGGGGGACGGCCACGCTGCAATCCCTTCTCCTCCATTCTCCCCTTGGGATCTTGGGCATGCACGCACATGCACCTGGTGTGAGTTTTAAGCCACCCGGTTCAGGACACGAACCGCTGTCAACTACATGGGAGTCCAGTGACATAGCCATTACACTAACTGCTGGTCCCACAATTGGAAATTTTGAATTAAATGTTATTTCACATAATCATTTTAACAAGAGGTCAATGTTATTATTTGTATAAAAGAAGCTAAAGCACTTAGTTAAGTAACTTGCCCAAGATTTCAGCTAGTAAGTAAGACATAAGTATTTAATCAAAGTCCTTCTGACTCCACGGATCATGTTTTTCCACCATATTGTCTTTCTGTGTCATGGGCTCAATGACATGGAATCTAACCTGGCCCCTTAGAAAGGACACAGCATCATGGAAAAAGCAGTGGCCAGAAATCAAGAGTATTTATTAAAAGTCGGCTTAGGCATTGTCCCTCCCATGATTCTGTTACTGGTCACATATGGAAATTTAGCTGATGCCCTTTTAGTTTTATCATTTTGTGATTCTCTCTTTTAACAAGTTGTCTTTGGGGACCAGCAGTAAGCATAATGGCTAAGTCACTGAACTCCCATGTAGCCACCCACGGTTCGAGTCCCGGACCCGGTGGCTTAAACTCACGCTTGGTGCGTGTGCATGCATGCCCATGATCCCCAGAGGAGAATGGCGGAGAAGGGATTGCGTTGTGGCCATCCCCACTGGGGGGTGACTTCTCGCTTTCTATCTCTCTGTCTCTCTCTTTCTGGCAGGTGCACGCACCCTAGAGCAAAAACCTCTAAAAAAAAAAAAAAAACTAAGTTGTCTTTGCCAAAGGAAAAGTGCAAATTAATGGCCGCATGATACACCGATTATCTATGCAAACACTTCACGGGGTAGATGCTGGGGGTGAGAAAGGAAACTTAAGAAGGTAGTGAGGTGAGTGAACACACGTCACGTGTTATGCGCCCAGCAATTGGTGCCTATGGGGACGTGAGGTGATTTAGTCCATCTCTACCTGATGACTCACAATCGAGCTCTCTGATTCCTTTGTTAAGCATTTAGCAGCATATATATGAATAGAAAAGGTATGTTCTTTCTTTCCTCTGATTGTATTCATCTTCAGTGGGCGAGTGGTAAAATAACTACAGGGGAACATTAAGAAGGGAGAAAAAACAATGTATGAACAGCCTCAAAATAAGACTTGATTATTTATGAATTCTCACATCTTCTGTGTCAAAATAATTGGCATCAGTGGTCTCATCTGTGAAAACTAGCACCTTACCTAATATATGGTAAGTTTCACTAAATGAAATACACTTTGACCACAAAACTAAGTAAACACGGGCCAGCAGGTGGTGTAGTGGTTCAGCCTCTAGACTCCCCTATGATCAATCACAGCTTGAGTGTGTGTGTGTGTGTACATGCCCAAAATTCCAGGAAGAAAATGGAAGAAAGGGTTTGCTGTATGGCCATCTCTCCTGGCTAGTAATGTCTCACATTCCCTATCACTATCTCTGTCTCTCTCTAGAGAGTGCACATGATTTATAGCAAAAAAACTTTAAAAAAAAAAGTAAGTAAACACTTAAATCTTTTTTTTAATTTTTCTAGATTTGAAAATTGTGGAATTTTCATTGTTATGTTGGAGGTAATTTTGAAAACTTTACTGAGGTCTACAGTTGTATTTGTCTTCCTTCTTTTGGCTTTTGGACTCAGTTTTTATGTCCTTCTCAGTATACAGGTGAGGCAGCTGCACCAGTACTTGATTTTGTCACTGTGAATGTTGGAAATATATATGTGTACTTAAATCTAAATGGCTTAGAAATTAATAGAACAATATTTGAATATTTTTGTAATCTGATAGATCTTTCAAATGATTTTTACTGTAGTAAAAAGGGCAGTTGTTATACCTTATCTGCAGAGGATGCACTCCAAGACCCCCAGTGGATACTGACACCACAGAGAATATAAAACCCTAAATATGAGGGTCTTCAAGAAAGGCTCATGCCAATTTGTATTATGAAAAAACTATGCACAGATTTCAGTTTCTTTATCCACAAAATAAATTCATGCTTTAACTCTATCTTTCCCATGAAGTTTTGAAATCTCTTTGTATACTATGGCTTTTCCTATACATGTATAACTATGAGAAAGTTTAATTTATATATTGAATACAGCAAGAGATTAATGATAAAATAGTACAATTATGTCAATATTCTGTAACAAAAGTTATGTGAATGTGGTCTCTCTGTTTCAAATCATCCTGTTGTATTGCCTTCACCTATTTTGGGACCATTGTTGACCATGGGTAACTGAAACTGTGGAAAGCACAACCACAGAGATGGGAAGATTACTGACTGTATAGTGTTACTAAATAACTTTTCATATTGTCAAAAAGCTGATGCATAATGTACAATGACTTCTTTTATGTGCAGAAAACATATTTTTGATGACTTTGCTTCAGTTTAATAATGCATCTCCCTGCATTTCAGTAGCTATGTGCCTATGACTTTTAAAAAGTATTCTTAATATAATTTCTATCACTTTATTCCCCAGGGAACATTTGTTTTCATTATATACATTTACATTTCATTTTTAATCTTGCTGTCTTTTCCTAGGATGCCTTCAGCTCTCCAGTGCTCTCTATAATCCAGACTTTCAGCATGATGCTAGGGGATGTCAATTATCGAGACTCCTTCCTAGAGCCATTTTTGAGAGATGAATTGGCATATCCATTTCTGTCCTTTTCACAACTTACTGTATTCACGATATTTGTTCCAATCGCCCTGATGAATTTACTCGTAAGTAATTTATCCTTGTACTTCCTGTTTGTTAATTATTTGGAACATTTAATAATGATACTTGTTCTTAGCTCCCTTGATCTCCCTGCATTGACGGGGGATGTCATTAAACACTCCATTGTTCCCTGGAGTATACTGGACACATTAGGAGTATGATCAGGGGATGCATAGATGCATTCCTTTGGCAAGTGCTTCCAAAGAGTCTACTAAGTGCCAGCCACCATTGCAGGTTCTGAGGAACCACAGTGAAGAAAACAAGGAAGTACTCAGACCTTAACTAATCACAAATGAGTCAGGTACTTAGGTAATAAACAAATACGTAGCAGGAAAAAAATGACCTGGGGGTGGATAAATGCTATGAAGAACTAAAAATTAAGAATCCCAGTGACTTGAGTCTTACCTAGATCTTAACCAATTTTCCCCATTTCCAGTATTTACCCAGATATGAATGTTCCCAGAGTATTCCAAGCAATCCCTCATGCCTCCCGGACTCTGTAAAGTCTCTTCCTTTTGCCTGGAAAAATCTCCCATCATGGGTTAATGCTGTTTTCAAAACTCAGCTCAAGTTTTATCTCTTCTGGGCAGACTTCCTTAATCAATATCTCAAGCCCCTTACCTTAGTCTGAATTGGGTGCTCTTTCCTTGTGTTAGCACAGTTTTAAGGACATAAATCAGAGAAAGAGGGTCGTAATGACCTACTTCCTAGGTAACTATGAAGATTAAATGCACTAATACATTTCACTTAAAAACAGTGCTTGACTCTTGGTAAGTTCAAGAATTATTAGCTACTATTCTTTTTTAGAGAGAGATTTTTACTATAGGGAGTATGTGTTCTCTGGAGAGACAGAGAGACAGAAAGGGAGAAATCACCTTCCCCCAGGGGGGATGGCCAAGCCACAGTCCCTTATCCTCCATTCTCCTCTCAGGATTTTGGACACGCACGCATGTGCGCCCAGTGTGAGTATTAAGTTACTGGGTCTGGGACTCGAACCACAGTCAACCATGTGGTAGTCTTGCGACGTAAACATTACTCCATCTGCTGGTCCAGCTGTTAGCTACTTTCAAATGTTAACAATTAGCCTGTTCTCTGATTCACAAGCTCAGATGTCTTTAGAGCCCTACTTTAGATACCATGCAGGTATCTTGAATGTGTGAAGCGGCAAGTATGAGACAGCTGGTTTTGATAGGGACTTTGTAAATTGGAGTGACTACCCATCTAAAAGCTGGCCAATTTAAAACCAAAAAACATTATTTGCTGACTAAATGTAGTTCTCAGTACTAGTTGACAAGCCCTAGAATATACTCTTCCATGTTCATTCATTCGGCAAATAAATTCTATACCTACTATGTGCCTGTTCTATTCAAAGCACTGAGCACACATGATAACCCAGACGAAGCCCTTCTCTCAGGGAGCTTATTTAACTTGGAATAAGAATCTCAGAATTTGAGAGCAGGCACTGTGTTTTTTCTCTCTGGTGCAGCATGCAGGATGCTGGCTTAGCATAGGCTCAGACTAAATAACTAAAAAATAAATGGAAGAGTGAATGAAATGAATTAATTTAATTAGATGGAGCAAGACTGACCAAATGGCTCCCCCTCACCTGAATCTTTCTAGGCATGGATTTCTAGAGGAAGGTTTCTCACCAGAGCCTCACCCACCCCTTAAGTATGCCTTTCCTTGCCAAACATAAGACAGAAAATCTTTCATTGCCTCAGTTTAACATTTTAACTTTTGTCGTTTGTCAAGTCACTCTTGTCTACCGTAGTTGAGAAACTTTTGGTGGAGCCTTCACTCCAACGATTAGCACGGCTATACCCAAGTACATCTGATATCACATTCACATTAAAAAATAACATATTTTTACTTCAAATTAAAATAACTTTTAAGTTAATTGTAGTCTTTACATTTTCATGATAACACTTAAGATTACTCGACCCACCAGGGTGGCCATCATTGCGTTTTTCTGTGAAGTGTACTAACAGAGCACTGTGCAGCCACTGCCGGGAGATCACGTGCCCATTGTAGCCAGAGACCTTGCTACAGTTTAAATGTTTGTATTCTTGCAAAATGAATATTTTGAAACCTACTCACCAAGGGGATGGTATTAGAAGGTGGGGCCTCTGGGAGTTGGTTAGGTCATGAAGACAGAGTCCTCGTCAATAAGATTAGTGCCTTTATAAAAGAGGTAAGACGGAGCTCGTTAGTTCTCTTTCGCCCTCTTACCACATAAGAACATATAGAAGGTGCTAACTATGACGAACATACCCTTACCAAATACCAAATCCAGCACTGCCTTGATTCTCAGACTCCAGAAATGTAAACAATATACTTCTGCTGTTCATAAATTATCAGTTTAAAGTATTTTTTATAACAGTGTGAATAGAATAAGACAAGCTTCAAGTGCATTTTTAGGCATGCCATTAAATGATCATGATCAAATTTTATGTCATACATCACACTTCAGATTGGTTTGGCAGTTGGTGACATTGCTGAAGTCCAGAAACATGCATCACTGAAAAGGATTGCTATGCAGGTAAGTATTATATTCATTTTAAACCTATTGAAATTAACATCATAGTAATTATCTGCATATAATAGCTGATTTTCTGAGAACATAGTTATTTACTATAGATATTTTCTCAATACAGAGTGGTAACATCTTATATCTGTTTGCATATTCTCTGATATACCTACTATAATCAAAGGAAGAAATTATGAAAAAAATCTTAGAACAATCTCAAAAAAGGAAACTGAAAAATTGTCTGAGCCTCTCTTTAAGGTCAATACATGGTCAACCAGCTAGCTAGCTGTTCAACCAAGAATATCACTGATGTAAGGTACTCTGTCTTGTCATAGTTCAGCTGCTCAAAAGAGCTCCCAATATTTGTGAAATACAATTACAGGGCTCGCATGGCATATTTTGTATTGAAGTCTTAACAGTATCCTGTACTCCTGTGATATACCTCTCATTTTTCTTGACAATTTGACACAAATCTTGCTAGAGTCAAAGGTTTGTGGATAGGTTTTTGGCTACTGAATCTTGTGGGGTAGTTTCCTGACATACAACACAAAGATGCTTCTATGCTTTTAATTGTATTGTCTTTCTGTTTGAAACTTGAATGGGAGTATTTGATGTTTCAAGAGTATCTGATGACCAGTTGAATTATGCATTCAAAAACTTAGGACAATTTGAGAAAAATCTATACTAAGATATAACTTCCTCTTTGCTTTCACATCTTCACTTTTCTTTGTCACAATTCTTTTTTCTCTGTTACTCATTCAGCTATACATTATAATCTTTATTTATGTAAAAAAACAATGTTCCAGTGCATGGAATGTGCAAAGCACACTACAAGCATGAGAACTAGAAAAATAAAGGGATGTGATCCCTGACTTTTCCAACTAAAAGATGGCTACTTAGAGTACCAACTTAACATTCAGAGACTAAAATATCAAAAATCAGCTTAGAACCATTCTTAAACTCTGTGCTCTGTGATTCGGCTATGTATCATACAGAGAGTACATTTTTAGAGAACAAAAATACAAGAATTAAATGGGTATCAGATACAGAAAATAAATGCCAAAATAATTGAGGAATGCTGCATGGAGGAAGTGGGAGAGTCCATGTCTGGTGGGAGTTAACAAGTTGGCCAGGCTGTTTTTGAAAGGAGGAACCCAGGAGGAGCAAAGGGCTGAGGCAGAGCGAGAAGAAATGGCTATTGTGCTGTTAGAAGGCTCTTCACCTGAAATGCCAGTTCACAGTGGAGGTGATCAGGTGGCTCCAGGTGATCGAGGCCTTATTCAAAAACAGCAAAGACAAAGCAAAACTTTGAAAGGGCACTAAATGATGAAGTGCATTAAATTATTCTGTTAGTCAGTGGAGAGATATTATCAGCCCTTACAAAAAGAACATGTCATGTAAGATGATTTGCTCTTATCTTGGTTAAGTGGGGCAAGATTGAGGGAAGAAAGAGCTGAGGACAGGTCACCACTCTAACAAAGACCAAGTATAATGTTCCAGGCAGGTGCATAAAGAGAAGGGATGGACAGACCTCTTGACAGGCATGACAGCAGTACTTAATACTATTCCAATCATTTTTTTTTTAATGAGAGAGAACACAGGAGGGAGCAAGAGAGATGGGTATTTTTGATAGGATCTCACCATGTCACAAGCTCCCTTCCCTGGCCTTCAAGTTAGCTAGGACCACAGACATGTTCCAACATGCCCAGACTGTTTAAAATGTCTTAGGGAAGCCTGATAAATTACACCTCAGTAGGCTTCAGTTGAAAAGCATAACCATATATTGTGGCTACTCTGGTCCCTGATACCAAATAGCACAAATCCCAGTACCTCCATATTATCTCTTTTTGTTTTGGATCAAGAACAGCAGTGACTCAGGCCAGCAGGTGGCATGGTGGTGAAGGTGACTGGATCCGACATGATAGACTGCATAGTTTGACTCCTAGACCCAGTGGCTTGAAAAACATGCTGTGCATGTGTTTTTGTGTATGTGTGTGTGTGTACCCAAAATCCCAAGAGGAAAATGGAGGAGGAGGGGATTGTGGCATGGCCATCTTCCCCTAGGGAGTGCTTTCTCACTTTCCCTCTCTCTCTGTCTCTATGTCCTGTGAGCACACACACCCTGTAGCAAATTAAACAAACAAATGAAAACAGCATTGGCTCATAAATCAGGATATCATTTCCTTATTTCCCCTGAGTTGTTTTTTAAGTGACATTCTACATCCATTCAGAAACCTAAACCAGAGCTCACATCAAAACTGGGGCATGAGGGGATATCAGTAAAGTATTTCATAAGGAACCATTTAATCCTTTCTCAAAATCATCGCAAACACGGGAACCAGCAGTTAGCATAATGGCTGTGTCACTGGACTCCCACATAGTCGACTGTGGTTCGCGTCCCGGAACCCACGCCGGGCGCATGTGAGTGCGTGCCCAAGATACCAAGAGGAGAATGGAGGAGAAGGGATTGCGGCGTGGCCATCCCCTCTGGGGGGTGATTTCTCGCTTTCTGTCTCTCTGTCTCTGTCTGTCTGTCTGGTGAGTGGAGCGCACACATCCTATAGTGAAAAACCTCTCAAAAAAAAAAAATCATCTCAAACACAAGTGGGCACAGAAGGTTCTCTGAGCAGCAGACACTGCGAGGTTATTGGAACTGTCGGTCTCAGGTACAGGAGTTTTGAGTATATGGAGGGTCTCGGAACTGCTGGTCTGTTTTTCTTCATTGGTGTCCCTACTCTCTGGCACAGCATTGGCAGCTGAAGATCCATTAACATTCATAGTCCCCCCACAAATTCAGAAAGAAAAACCACAGAGCTTTTCATGTCCTTCAACATGGAAAACCCACCAGTAAGAGGGAGTAAAGATGCTACTTAGCCCAGTGGAGCCATGCTCTGTCAGTCCTGCTAGACCTGCAGTGGACTTGGGGCTGTTTGCCGACTTCCCCCACAACCATCTTTGAGAGGGCAATCTGGCAGTTCCTTTATAGACAATGAACAGGGTTAAGACATACCCTGCACTTTATCTATTGGCAAGTACTTGGCTGGAATAAATTATTTTCAATAGCGTTTAAGTGAATGTGGCCTCTAAAAAATTTATATGGAAAGGAAAATTGCCCTAAAGACTCGAAGATGAAAAAGAACCCTGAAAATTATAGAAACTAAAAGAAAATATATTACTGGCATTATTAATAACAATACAAGAAAGCATAGCTTTTTTTGAATGGCAGTAAGTTTATAAAAATACTAGGGGGCCCAGCTGTGGTAACACAGACTTTCAGGCATTGCCTTGTAATACTGGAGTCATCTGGGAGGCTACTGGTTCAATGGAGCACACTGGGTGTGCCCAAAGGCATACCTGTGATCCTGGCTGGCTGGAAGGCTTGGGGGGATGGATCATAGTATGGAGAGAATTTATCAAGGCCACCTGTTTTTCTCTTTCTCTCTCTTCTCTCTCTCAGGAAAGAAAGGACAAACAAACAAAATAGCAGGGAAGCTATATAGGGAGTGTGTCTTGTGGGGGATGGTGGGGATCACAATTTCTAGCAGTGAGGTCAGGGAAGTTCTTACCACGTCACCATTTATGACTGTATATCACTTAAGTGCCCATATATTGCAAACATATGGTCTTAGATTAGAAAGTAAATCTAATTACATAGTAACTATAAAAGATATCTGAACAGATACAAAGGGCTATAACAAAAGTCAAAGATAAATTTGGCAAACACAAACAAAAACTAAGGTTGAAAATATGAGGATTAAACTAAGTATTTTCTCATGTTAAAAATATTCAAGGAAATGAAATATTGCATCACTGAAAATAGAAATTAGTCACCATATGTCATGGAACTGTAATCTCCATGCATGGAAATCTGTAACATACTTTTAGACATGCTAGTTCTAAGTCTCACTGTTTACCTTTGTATTCTCTAGTAAACATTCCTTTTTCTCTCCTGTCCTAGGTACATATTCATATCACTCACACTTCCCAGACACATGCACTTTGTAGTACTATTGCAGTACTCCAAGAATATGGATCTTTAACATTTATATTGCCAGTGCGGATCACAGTATCTGAACAATAAACATCTGCTGACTTAAAGTGATTTCCTTCTTTAAACAACTTGCCCCTGACTACAATCTCTGGCCTTGCCTTGGCAGTGGACGGGGTGAGAAATAGGGGCAGGTGACTGAGTGCTAGAGGTGCAGGGCACCTGGCCAGCCCAGCTGCCATGCATAAATCAGGACGTAGGAATCAGTTTTCATTTGGATGTACTAGAGATGGCTTTTGTGGAGTTTAAGAATTCCAGATGCTAATTAACAATTCTGCCCATAAATCCGAAATTTGCTTAGGTGGAACTTCATACCAGCTTAGAGAAGAAGCTGCCACTGTGGTTCCTACGCAAAGTGGATCAGAAATCCATCGTCGTGTATCCCAACAGACCCAGACACGGGGGAAGGTTATTAGTAAGTACGCAAGCAAGTCACAGAAAAAGGACGTGATGCTGTTTGACTCTGATGCCTCATGTTATCCCAAAGGGTACTCTGAGTCTGCTCTGCCTTGGGAAAGAAATAGTTGTGTTCTGGAAAAGCACACATAATAAACTCCCAGTGATGGACAGTGGGGAGGGAGACCTCTGCTTCTTCCAGGAGAGGCACATCCACGGCATCTGCATGAACAAGTTCCTCAGCCCTGTGAAAGCAGATGGGTGGGCGTACCAGCCATGCCTCTCAGCATCATTTTTACGGCGCAAGTATACTTTGTCTATTCGTATCTTACTCATATTTATGTGAAGGTATACATACAGGTATGCAATTCTGCATACATACTTAGAACATGTAATAAAGAACACACATAGACATATCCATCGTTCCATTTAATCCATGAGGCAAGACCCCCAGTGGATGCCTAAAGCCAGATTGCACTGAGCCCTACATAGACTACATTTTTCTTATGCATTCAATACCTATGATGAAGTTTAAGTTATAAATAAGGCACAGTAAGATATGAATTGCAGCTGATAATGAAATAAAACAATTGCAACAATGGACTGTAAAGAAAGCTATGTGCATATGGTTTCTCTCTCAAACTATCTGATTGTACTGTGCTCAGTTATTTTTGGACCACAGTTGATCATAGATGACTGAAATGACAATAGGCAAAATTGCAGATAAGAGGGAACCACTGCACACAGACACACACACACACACACACACACACACACACACACACACACACACACACACACACACACACACACACACACACACACATATGCCTGTGTGCACGCAAAGACGAAGTGTCCACTGCAGAAAATATACAAAAGCTAACAAAGACAATTGCATTATAAGGAAAAAGAGACGAGACTAAGAGTTAGAAGTACTAGATGCTAATCCTAACCATGCCTGGGCTTCCCCTGTCTCTGTGATTGTTCTTCCTGAGTTCTTTGCAGGTTGGTTTTCCCACGTGAGGTCATAAAATGATAGTCAACCTAAGTAACCATCTATGCTATATTCCACCTATTGCCCTATCTGATTTCATTCCTATCTGTGGTTGCAGTTACTACAGAAACAGAATGCTCAGCAATTGTTTTCTCTAGCCTCGCATCCACCTTTGCATTCCAGGTCCCTCTTCAGATGTCTAATTGACATCTCCACTTGTATGTCTCAAGGAAGCCTAAATTCAGCATATTTGAAACCAAACTCTTTTCCCATGTTTCACCCCCTTTTCATATCCCCTACAGGAAAACAATGTAAAAGTCCTGGTTCTTCTCTGAAGGCCCTTATTGCAATTACCATCAGCAGCAATTATTTGCCTGTGTAAGCGCTCCCCCAGGACTCTCACTTCCCCTCATGCTCTGTGTCCTGTAAGTCCAGTCAGTCCCCATGGGGCCTATACACGTCACCGTTTTCTCTTGCCAAACTACCTCATTTTTGGTCATTTCACATCAGCCCTTGACACTCTCTAGTCTCCCCACGGTTTAAAATATATTAAATTAAAACAAGATAAGGTCAACTCCATGACCTGGTGCTTCAGGGAGCTAGATCTTACATAACCTATTGCAGGGTTTGAATCTTGGCCCTGGCTGCTTGAAAAATGCACTGAGCCTGTGTGTGCACATGCCTGAAATCCCAACAGGATGGAAAATTGAAGGAGATTGCTGCATGATCCGCCTCATTGAGGGGGTATTGCTTTATTCCTCTCCTTCTCTCTCTGTCTCTCTTTCTGGCAAGCACACATGCCCCTTGTCAAAATTTTTTAAAAAGAAAAGAAAAAAATAAGACATATTAAGATAACATTTTGGAAATTTTCCATGTGAAACATGCTTGGTTGGGCTATGTTGGATAATAATGGTACATTTTAGCAAATTAATAACTAATCCAGAATGGAATACCACCTCCCAGCAAAGGTAGTTTTGATAACTATTTATTATATGATTCAGTTAAGCCATTTTCTATTATTTTACTCCTATATTATTTGTACTTTAAAATGTCTTTCTCTTTAACATGATTTCATTTCATAGCCCTTTACATGTCTGATCTTCACAGCAGACTGTGCGTCCTTTGCAGGCCACAGGTATGATTTACAAATACACAGAATCTTTAAAAAGTTCACAAAAAATGACTATGATGGATAAACGATGAACAGATTTCAAAGTCTTTGCACCCCCCCAAAATTCCTACTCGAATTCTATTCTATGGGCTTTCTGAAGTCCCTTTGTATTTGTGCTAGTGAACCTGGCTCAGTGACTGAATTATGAATGGCATATGTTTAAGAACTAGTTCCTGAATTCCACCTAAATAGCTATTATCTTTTATCCATAGCGTATATTTTGCTATTTATTTTGCGTTAAAGAAGCAAAACAAGAAATGCCACATACTGATACATCTTTAGAAATGGAAATATTGAAGCAGAAATACAGGTATGTATTTTTTCTTCTATCTGTATTTGAGAAACTTAGAACTCTTAAATAATAATGCAAGGCATAAAATTAAATGTTGTAGTGGTGTTTACTTCTTTCCATATATTAAGTCATGTTTTAGTGACTGATGTGGCTAGCGTATTGAGAATCATGAGAAGTTTTTTGGACCTAACAACTTTCTTGTTGCCTTCTAAATAATAAGTGAATGAAGACTAGAATGTTGGTTTCCTTATTCTTGGGGGCAGTATGGTGAACCTCTGCTCATCAGTCTTCTAAATTCAAACAGCGAGGCTTCAAAAATTTTTTAGGGTTTCTGGAATAGCTATGTCATGACAGTATTTAAACATAAACTTTTTAGGGTTTAGCTGGGTTTTAACCTCTATTCAACTACTTACCAACATTATGACTCTCAGGAAATTGCTTAACCTCTCTGTGCAATGGTTTCTTATCTGTAAACCAGAAACAAAAACAAACTAGGCCCGAATTAACAATACAACCTTGGGAAAATCCCTTATATACACCGAGACCAGTAGATGGAGTAATGGTTATGTTACTGGACTCCCACGTAGTTGATCACAGTTTGAGTCCCAGACCTGGTGGCTTAAAACTCATGCCAGGCATCTGTGTGTGTGTGCCCAAACTCCCAAGAGAAGAATGGAGGAGAAAAGATTTTGGCATGGCCCACTGGGAGGTGATTTCTCATTTTCTGTCTCTCTGTCCTTCCAGCAAGTATAGGCACCCTATAGGAAAAGTCTCTCTTAAAAATAAACATATAAATAAAATTTAAATAAAAAACTTAAAAGATATGTACTCCTTGGAAAGATTATGAATACAATGAGGCTATAATCTGGGCACAATGAATCTAAAACAGAACACCTCTAGCACCTCCACCTTCCTACTCAGAAGGGCGAAAACAATTGAAAATAAATTCACAAAACTTGTATGTTCTTTCAGGCTGAAAGATGTCACTTCTCTCCTGGAAAAACAGCATGAGCTCATCAAACTCATCATTCAGAAGATGGAGATCATCTCTGAGACAGAAGATGAAGATAACCATTGTTCTTTTCAAGACAGGTTTAAAAAGGAGCAGTTGGAACAAAGGAACAGCAAATGGAATTCTGTGTTGAAAGCAGTAAAGGCAAAAACACACTGCTCCTAGTATTAGTTACCCAGACCTGTCGCAGGGTTTCCAACAGGGAGTTCACACAACTTACAACTTGGAGAACGAAGAAGCAGCAGAAATCTGATTGATTTCACTACACGTGAAATCATGGTTCTTGCATTCTATATAAAAGTGAACTGTCTCCCTCTATTCACATTTTCTGTCAATTAGTATGTATTAGAAATAACATGACTGATATCTTCAAGTTGGACTTTAATTAAAGATAATCTCATTATTTGAATGGGCATAAAATAACTTGCTAAAACTTATATTTTTAGTGATAAGGAGTAATAATGTGACTACTAAGCTAGAATGCAAAACCAATACTGAATTCCTGCTTGGTAATTATATAACATGTGATGTCTTAGATAACAAGCTCGAGTATTGATTGAGTATTACACTTGAAAGGTTATTTTGTGTTGGAAGAAATTGGGGGTTGTCACCTATGCACCTGTCTGTTCCTGTTATGACAACTACCCCACCCTCCTGCTGCTCCCAGTGCGCTTGTCATTTTGAGCTACATAGCTTAAATCCAGATTAACAGACTTTCTGATGTGCATGAATTTTACTGCAGATGTTATTTCTGCATTTTTTGTCAGTGATCGTAATAAATCTAAAACCTATACAGTCAATTTTCAGTGATTATTGTGCGAGCCTTTTATTGCATTTAATTTTTTTGAGGTTTGTAAAAATTCCTCCATCACATTTGTCCTTTCTTGTTTTGATGTCTAGTACAAATTATGACTTAATCACATGGATTATTATCGATCGTTTCAAGATCTTCTCTTATTTTCCCCTTCATTCTGATTTTCACAGTTACCCTCTCTCTCTGCCCCCAGAAGATACCCATTCTAATTAATATGAGGGGACTCCATAGAGTTCATGAAAAATGGAATAAAGAATGAGCCTATTTGGGTTCAAAAAATTTTAAAGCCATGCATAATTTTCTCACACTATGCATGTTCTATGCATTTTTTGAAGACCCCTTGTATGTCTGGCTATGCATGTGTCTTTGCGTTATGTTGAGCAGTGTGATTTTGAGTGTGTTTTTATTTACATAGATGTTATTATGGCATGGCTCTTATTCTGTTTCTTCTTTCTACTGGACTTTATGTTTACAAGATTCAACTGTGTTACCATATATCCATCTAGTACAGGGCTTCAGACAATAGCTTACTATTTCCTGTGTGCAAGAAATGGACATCTTCCAATGATAAATTTGCTTAAAAACATTGACTTGTTTATTCAAATTTAAACAAGATGAAAAATATGTTAAACCAAACTGACCTAATTCATGAGTAGCACCCCTGTTCTACTTCTTTTTTATTTTTTTATTTTTTTGGAGAGGTTTTTGCTTTAGGGTATGTGCACTCACCAGACAGAGAGAGACAAAGAGACAGAAAACAAGAAATCACCCCCCGGGGGACACCACAATCCCTTCCCCTCCATTATCCTCTCGGGATCTTGGACATGTATGCACATGCGCCCGGCATGAGTTTAAGCCACCGGGTTTGGGACTTGAACCGCAGTCAACTACGTGGGAGTCCAGCAACATAGCCATTACGCTAACTGCTGGTCCTCCCCTGTTCTACTTCAAAAACTCGCAATTACAGTATTCTGGTCTGACGGCAAGCTCTGTCAGTCTTTCTCAAATTCTAAGAGAATGAAATGGCCCTTCTCTCATCAAAATCACTGCGGACGTAACCACTCAGTGTGCAATACATAATCACTGTGCTGCACCTTCCTGCCTCAGGATGAATTTGACCCAAGCCAATAAACGATGTGCCAGTAAATGTCCAGCCAGAAGATCAGAGATTCTGAAAATTTCCATCACCTGGTGAATGACTGTCCACCAAACTTTATCAAGCTATGAAACATAATTAGCATGCTAATTTTATAATATGAAGTATATTCCTTATATGACACATCTAATTTTCCAAAAATTTTTTTTGTCTTGTTACTTCTTCCATGTGAAAGAGAACACACAAGAGAGAGACAAGCATCCCCACCAGGGTCCCCACCTGGGACCCACCCTCAGCCTCAGCCGGCCTGGATCACAGCATGTCTGCACACACACCTGTGTGAGGAGGCCCTGTGACACAAACTCAGGACATCTCCATGTGGGTCCAGTTGTGCTACCACTGTTCTTCTCTCTGGATCCACAATTTTACATTTTTAAAGTGGCTTCAATTGTTTTTTTTCCTTACTATGAAGAAAAGCTAATGAGAGACAAAGCCGAAGGTCAGGCACAGCTCTGCTTGGAAAGGACAAGTGGGAAAAAAATAAAAGTCAGGATAGGCTATTTTAATTAAACCATTTAAAATGACAATTGGAAATGAAAGTACGGTTTTAAATGCTTTCATTTATTGTTAACATTTGTTTTGGGGGGCCAGCAGGTGGCGTAGTGGTTAAAGCATTGGACTCACATGACCAACCATGGACAGGGCAACTAGGAACTCATGCTGGCCAAGTATGTGCGCACGCCTGTGTGTGTGTGTGCACAGTAGGTGCGTGTGCTCGTGTCCAAAATCCCAAGAGAAGAATAGAGGAGAAAGGAATGAGGCATGGTCATTTCCCCTGGGGGGTGATTTCTCGACTTCTAACTCTTGAGCTCAGGTGCCCAATAATAAAAATTTATAAAAAAAAAAAAAAATGCTTTTCAATGAATATTTAAGGGAACCATTATTATAGAAAACATATTATATTTATTTTTATATTTACACAAGAAAACAGTAATTAGCTGTGGAATTGAATTTCACAAGCATTTACACATGTATTTTCACACTGATAATATTCTGGAAACTATTTTACAAGTGGATAGACTGAGAGTTACTACTGAGATAGCTTTTGAACTGTAAAATCTGATTTTGATAGTATTTCAAATGACAATGTTAGTTACTCAAGTCCTAAAAAGCTAGGACTACATACTGAGCTGTTGTGTTAGTAGACTGTTTTACCGTGTAAGTTAAATGTTTGGATTAGGACAAGAAACATGAGGTACTTTTGAATTAAACAATGATGTTTTGCTGATAAGAAAAAGGTAACCACTTAGTCACTAATCAGCTATCATAACTTTCAAAGAAGATGATTTAAGGCAACACAAACAAAAATATGCTCTAGCTTAGCTTTACAAGTAAATATTCTGAAGAGTCAGCGCTAGACAAGTGCAAAAATATCTGAACTGCTACTCACGCTGTGACCCACAGAATTCCCTGCTGGATTTAGCCTGTCTGCACTGTACTTTTAAAACGAGTTAGAAAAAGGCAAACTCCTTGTTCTTTTTGTGCCATGTGTATATTTTTTGGCTATTTCAGGATCTAAGATAATGGAGAAAAAGTACCCTTTGTTTCATTTTTCGTCATAATCAGCAGCATTTGACAAGTGTGACAATCTCACTAGATAAGACAGGAACCATAAAACACAGGGTTGGAACACGAAGCAAGGAATTTCCTTAGGTCCTATTAGACACTGGGTAGTAGTTTTAGGCTATTTAAAACTTATTTTCAGCTGACCACAGCTGATCCTAAACTTTGAGACAAATACTTACTAATGGAAAAATGTTCCAAGAGATCAGGAATGTGTAACGAGAATGTGTTAGAACAGGACATGTGGGTGGATGTTAGAGTCAGAGTTATTTCAGGTTTTGCTCCTGAAATATTTCAGGTTTTGCTGCTTACATATCAGTGACTCAAGCTAGCCACTTTGTAACTGTACATTATACCTTCAGTTTTGATCATTGAAAACTATTTCAAAAGTCTAACTGAATTTCAGTTACAGGTGGTGAACAGGGGATGTTAAGCATGCTAAATCACTCATTTTTATTAGCAAGGAGTCAATCCTAAACAAATCAAAGTTAATGATTCTGTTATACCTGATAATTGAAAATAAAGAAATAGAAGATAAACCATGACTTTTAAGATTATTAGATAACCAAAAACATTTAAACAGAATAAGATCTGTCAATACATAAACCAAAAAGGATGAAAGAAAACAAAACAGGCAATATAAAAAATTTTTAAAAAGACTATATACAAAAAAATAAAGCCTGTCAGTTTTGATGACAGATCTAAACTTCCGTAGAGGATAAATATTCCCCATTTGGGTTAAGAAATTTAATTACCAGGAGATGATCTGAGCCCATACTATAGAGAGGTGAGCAACAAGTATTAAAACTGTAAATGGCAGAAGTGAAAACAGGAGTTTAACACAAAGAACCCAAAGGAAAAATACAAATTAGACAAAAGCTTGCTTGACACTGATCAAGTTTTTTGATCTGCAAGGAAGTCGTAAGTTAGTACCCTTTCCATTCCAAGTAAATAATCAAAATATGTCAAGCTATAACTGGTAGAAATGAATCATTAGCAGAAACACTGTGGGAAAGTCTTATCACACCTCCATTAGTGTAATCCCGGCACTTAGAAATTGAGTGAACTGCAAAGGTTATTAAAACATAGGTGCCAAGGAACCGGGAGAGAAGAGGCTGCTAGGCCAAGGCAGCCCGCAGCTGCTGGCCGAGCACAGGTGCCAATGTGAGGGTCCCAGAGTAGAAGAGCGCCTGGTTGGGATGACAGATCTTTATGCGATAGAAAGGTTTATGATGCCTGTATGTATTTATTTATTACAAATGAAGAAAAAGATTGCATAACTTTTCCAAAATAATGCAACTACTAAGTAACAAAGATGTATTCAAACTCAGAAAGCATGGCCTTTTTATTGAATTCAGGTAATGGCATAAAAGCAAAGGAGATAGTCATTGGAAAGTCATGATGCATTTCTGCATTAAAAAAAAAAAAAGAAAAATACAAAACTTTCCTAACAAAATAATATTGCCGAGCTCTGTCTCCTAAAGGAGATGGTCATTGGAAAGGTCATGATGCATTTCTGCATTAAAAAAAAAAAAAGAAAAATACAAAACTTTTCTGACAACTCAGTATGATGAACAGATTCCAGTAGCCTTCTTTAAGAAACAACTGGAGCAGCCTCGTTTCTCTGTTCATCTTTCAGTGCACCATCTGGAAATGAATGCTGGCATTTTGAACCTTGAGAACAGAACCACATGGCATGAAATGGCAGGATGGTAGCACCAGGTAGGAGTCTGTGGAGTAGTGTCACCCAGGAGCCCTCTGCTACTCATCTCTAGGCTTATTGTCAGAGAGAAATACAGATTTTGTTTATATTATGTCAAAGTCACAGTTATTTCAGGTTTTGCTCCTGCAGATAGATCTGTTATGTCTTTAACTGTCCCCCTGCATCCCTGAAATTCACAGGTTGAGGTACTAACCCCAAGTACCCCAGAATGTGACCTGATTTGGAAGTAGCTTCATGGCACATGTAATTAGCTAAAATGAGGTTATTAAGGTGGACCCTAATCCAATGTTTCCCCTTTTTAAAAGGGGAAACAGAGGCACGGAGACATGCACACATGGGAATTCACGTGAAGACAAAGCATAGGTCAGGGGATGCCAAAGATTGCCAGCAAACCACGAAAAGCTAGGTGAGAGGCAGGGGATGGCGTCTCTTTCACAGCCCTGAGAAGGAATCAGCCCTGTTGACACCTTGACCCCTAGCCTCCAGAACTGAGACAATAAGTTTCTGTTGTTTAAGCCCCCTAATTTG